AAAAACATTCACCCAAATCAGTAGAAGGGGCAGAGATGGGAGATGGAAAGCTGAGCAGAGAGGATGTATAGCAAGGTGGCAGACCATGTGGGCAAGGCAGGGCTGGCTGAATGGGAAACTAAAGACTCAAAGCTAGCTGGGGTTTCCATGGTGGAAGAAACTCCCAGTCTCACAGGAGAGTTTGTTGGAAAGTGGGGCTAGGGCCAAGCAAGTGAGCACATTGTTCTCTCTCTGACCCCCACCCCCCCGCCAACAGACAGTGTCACTATGCAGCACAGAGGTTTGCCCTACCCAGGTGAATACCTAAGACTCCGCCCCTTATGACACAACAGGTGCACAGAGACAGAGATACAGCCAAATGAAAAAGCAGATCAAAACTCCAGAAAAGGAGCTAAGTGATGAGGAGATAGACAACCTATCTGGTGCAGAGTTCAAAATACTGGTAATCAGGATGCTCACAGAACTGATTGAGCTCAGATGCAAAATGAAGGCTACCCAAAGTGAAATAAAGCAAAATATACAGAGAACCAACAGTGAAGGTAAGGAAACTAGGAGTCAAATAAACGATTTGGAATTAAAGGGGAAAATAACCATCCAACCAGAAAAGAATGAAGAAACAAGAATTCAAAAAAATGAGGAGAGGCTAAGGAACCTATGGGACAACTTTAAGCACTCTTAACATCCACATTATAGGGAAAGCAGAAAAAGAACAAAAGCAAAGAATTGAAAACTTATTTGAACAAATAATGAAGGAAAACTTCCCCAATCTTGTGAAGGAAATAGACTTCTAGGGAGTCCAGGAAGCCCAGAGAGCCCCAAAGAAATTGGACCCAAGAAGGAACACACCAAGGCACATCATCATTAAGTTACACAAAATTAAAGATAAAGAAAATCTTAAAAGCAGCAAGAGGAAAAAAGAGAGTTACCTACAAAGGAGTGTCCATAAGACTATCAACTGATTTCTCAAAAGAAACCTTGTAGATAAGAAGGGGATGAAAAGAAGTGTTCAAAGTCATGAGAGACAAGGACCTACATCCCAGATTGCTCTATCCAGCAAAGTTTTCATTTAGAATGGAAGGGCAGATAAAGTGCTTCCCAGATAAGGTCAAGTTAAAGGAGTTCATCATTACCAAGCCCTTATTATATGAAATGTAAAAGGTACCTATCTAAGAAATAGAAAATCAAAAACTATGAACAGTAAAATGATAACAAACTCATAACTATCAACAACTGAACCTAAAAAGCAAAAAAATAAGCAGACAACTAGGACAGGAACAGAACCAGAGAAATGGAGATCACATGGAGGGTTATCAGTTGGGATGGGGAGGGGAAGAGTGAAGAGGAAAAGGTACAGAGAATAAGAGGCATAATTGGTAGGCATAAAATAGATGGGGTGGATTAAAAAGGGTATAGGAAACAGAGAACCCAAAGAATTTATATGTGCAACCCATGGACATGAACTAGGGCGGGGGGAGGAATGCTGGAGGGCACGGGGTGCAGGACAGTGGAGCAATAAAGGGAAAAAAATTTGGAAAGCTGTAGCAGCATAATCAATAAAATATACTTTTAAAAAATGGGCACTTCACCATAAAAAAAGTGACTTAACCCTTTAAGGCCAGTTCATATGACTTGAAGAACAGACACTTCTCCAAACAGGACATACAGATTGCCCATAGTCATTTGAAAGGATGCTCAATATCACTAGTCATCAGAAAGATGCAAATTAAAACCACAATCAGCACATCACAGTAGTCAGAATGGCTATCACTAATAAATCAACAAACAGTAAGTGCTGACAGGGATGTAGAGAAAAGGGAACCCTAATGCCCTATCGGTGGAAATGCAGACTGGTGCAGTCACTGGAAAACAGCATGAAATTTCTTCAAAAAACTAAAAATCGGACTGTATTTTGACCCAACAATTCCACTGCTGGGAAATACTGAATCCCAAAATCCCAATTCTTTTGAATTGAACACAATTCAAAAGAATTTACATACCACTATGTTCAGATCAGTTCTATTTATAATAGCCAAGTGCTGAAAACAGCCTAAGTGCCCATCAGTAAATAAGTGGATCAAATAACTGTGGTACACTTACACAGTGGAATACTACATTGCAGAAAGAAAGAACTCCTACCTTTTGGGACAGCATGGATGGAACTGGTGAATACTATGCTAAGTGAAATAAGCCAATTGGTGAAAGAAAAATACCATATGATCTCACCTATGAGAGGAATCTAATGAACAAAATAAACTAATAAGCAAAATAGAACCAGAGTCAAGGAAACAAGGAACAGACTGAAAGTGACCAGAAGGGAGTGAGGAGAGGGATAAGGGTGGGAAGAAGGGGAAGAGGCTCATCAAGGAACATCCCAGAATGACCCATGGACATGGACCATAGAAACCCCATAGGGTGGGGAATGACTATGGGAGTGAGGGGTGGGCTGGGTGGAGGAGGGCTAAGGGGGAAAATGGGACAAATGTAATAGAATAATAATAAAATATTTAATAAAAATATAAATAAATCACATTAAAAAAAGATGATTGAAACCAGGAATTCCAATTGCCCAATCCAAGCAAAAGGAACAAATCCCATAAGCCATAAGAACTGGCCTTAAAGGGTTAAGTCTCTTTTTCTTTATGGTGAAGTATAGCCTGATCTATTAATGTATTGCCTGTTTCGTTGATCTAAGTAAACAGGGACTATTAGCAATGACACAAACACCACAAGTAGCCAACTAGAGCAATGCAATTGTCCAATACTACTCATGCCAACAAGTTGCAACTGATGTTATTTATCTAGGGCAAGAGGAGTACCATTAATAACTCCTTCTACAATTAGTGATATGTTTCTTGCAGTCTTTTCTATTCCATTGGAAACATGGCTTGTAGTGTTCACATAAATAATGAATAAGCAATTCCTAAGGGAGAGGTTGATCAAAGTTGGCAAGGTTCAATATAGAAAGAGCAGTGTGCATATCTAGTAGGAATTGGTGAGGGTGGTCATTTATATTTGTAGTTAATTTACCTTATATACTTAAGATTAAAGCAGAATATTGAGCTCTTTTTCATTCTGTGAAGTACTCTCATTGATCTGAACTGGGAGACTTTTCCTTGACTTGGTTTTTCTTTTCCAAAATAGGATAATCTTTTTCCCATTGTACCTTCTATTTATAAATTCTATCAGTATCCTTGTCATAAGTGCTGTTAGGAAGTGGGCCACCCAACTGTTTCATCTGCAAGTCCATACTTTATTTGGAGTCTTGTTTCATTTTTGTTCTAGGGCCCTTTCAAAATGTTCTACCAGGAATTATAGTCCATGTAAAAGATGTTTTCCATTCTAATTTGTTTCCTTATTAGGTCTCCAATCAAAGAGGTGTTATTATGTCTGTGCCTTCTTTAACTCACAAATGTTGTCAGAAGTTATTTACTGATCTATCCCAAAATCTCTATCATATCATCTTTTCTCTGATTGCACAATTACATTTTGATTCAATCAATATTATTGGAAATGTTTAACATTTGGTTTTTAGGAGCCTTTCAGGGGTTTTTGACCTTCAGATTTATTGTGGAAAGAGAAGTCATACAGGCCCCTTTCTGGGTCAGTCCAATTTCTCTTGCCATCCAGCATGTAGTATCTAAAGTTCCAACTGACATGTGTAAAAGTTGATATGTCAGGTAACTATAGGTTGTATAAACTCAACACAATTTTCAATTCTTAGATGAATAGTTGCTGGTCATGTCAGGGTTTAGGCAAATGCTTAATTATAGTTTTTAATTCTAGTAAGGTTCAAGGTTTCAATTCTACTATAGCCTGCATATCTGGCTTATGTGCAAAATGGATGTTTACAGGTGAGTGACATATTGAGGTCTTCAAGGGAGTCTTTGTGAAAATGTAGGGCATCTTGTCAAATTAAAGAGGTAAGAAGCATCAACACAGGTGCAGGAGGCAGATCAGAAGAACAGAGAGAAAGAGAGCTATATATACGGGGTAACTATAGGACAAGGAATGAGATCATTTACTAGAGAAGAAAAGCATAGTATGCTGTTACTTAGGTTTGTCAAATTACTCATTAACTTTGGCCAAAAAGTCTCTTAATAAAGTAGTTTTTAAATCAGAATTTTTTTAAGGCCTCTGTACCTCAAACAAACAAACACCACACATTGGGTCTGGGAAATTTTAATTCCCTTTATTTTCCAAAGTATCTCTCAAATAAATGATTTTGTTCAACTTGAAATAGTCCCCAGAATAACCACTGAAAGCCCAAATTATCTTGGTGAAGTTATGCCATTTAGAAATATATGAAAAAAATTAGGATAGCGATGAGAGTACAGATAAGACGAGTTTTTTTCCAAGACTTGGAAAAGAGGTAGTATACTTAACCCCATAAGAGCTGGCAACAGTAGAAAGTAATGCTTGTGCACTTTGTGTCTCAGGACCATAATCTGACAGTTTGCTACCTCCAAATACAGGCAGCACTACCCCACTCAAAAGTCAAGGATAAGTGTCGTAGGTGCAATTCCCAGTCAGGGTACATGCCTGGGTTGCAGGCCATGACCCCCAGCAACCGCACATTGATGTTTCTCTCTTTCTCTCTTTCTCCCTCCCTTCTCTCTCTAAAAAATAAATAAATAAAATTTTTTTAAAAAGTCAAGGGCACAAAAAAGAAAGAAAGAAAAACTAAGTTTTTAGGACAAAATATCTAGATAGAAGGAGAACTTTACCCAATTGTATTGGTGACCCACAGCAAAGTTTGTGTGACTATTGGTCTGGTGAGAACTGCAGACTCACCCATCTATGAAGGTGACTCAAACAGCAGGGTTACAGGGCCTATGTAAAGACACAAAAGAGAAAAAGCAAAAGGATGGAAAGGAATGGCTTGATTTCATCAAGGATGCCGAGCAAATGGGAACTAATAATAAAACCTGGTTACTAAGTTGAGAATAGATGCCAAGAAATTCAACATGAGAGTGTGGAGTCCAGACCCAGTGATCACTTACCTTGTAGGCATTGACTCTATAAGCTGTAAGCAGTGAGACACAAGGGCCTCTGTGGCTGCCACACCTTGTTATAGGCTGGGATCCATGGTTACAGGCATTCCCAACCCTATCTCAGTGGAACCTCCAGAAAAACTGTGGAAATAAATAACACCATCCAAATGAGAACAAACAGAGGCTGCTTATTCTGTGCTTGCTATACCAAGGAGTTAGTCACCATCAATTACATTTGGTAGAGACTCACAGGCAGATTGGGTGGTGGGAAATCTTTTTAGCAATAACAAAGAGAAAGCTTCAGATGTGTTTTAACTAGAGATTGTTGGCATGAGGAAGTGAGAGTCAGGTTAGCAAAGCAACTTATGTGGTTGGTTTGGGGAGCATATTTGGCTTTCTCTGGTTGGTCCTGAGTTGGAAGTGGGTGCACAGGACAGGGAATTTGGCAGCCACTGACCAAGTCCTGGCAGAGGTGTAGTTTGGCTTCTCAGGTTGATTGCTGCAGAAGTTGTAGGTCAGAGTTCTATGGTCATATATGGTCTGGCCACTGTCTGTTTATATATTCAGCTTCTCGATCTTTTAAATGTTCTAGTTCATTTTTCTTTAATTGTCCCTGCTCTTTGTGTTTATAATTGCAAAATTTTGGCACAATCTAAATATCTAACACTAGGAGATTATTGGTGACTGTTTGATTTATATAATATAATCCCCTACTGTTGGCCATTTAGGATCCCTGGCATCAGTTCCAAGTGGAGAGGGGGATGAGATTCCAGATTCTGAGGGCTCTTGAATAGGCTGGCTACATGTCATGTAAATTCTAGCCCCAACCACAGCAGGTCTTCAGCAGTACAGAGCAGTTGAAAAGCAAGGAAAATACGAATTAGCTGTTCGAAGACAGAGAATAAGAAATGATAGCAATAGCTAGTATATTTAAGTAATTGAATCTTCATGACATCTTTAAGGATGCAGCTTCATCTCCATTTTACAGATGAGGAAACTGAAACAGAGAGGTTAATTTAACCTACATGTACAACTAGTAAGTGGTAAAGCAGGATTCAAGCCCAGGCTGGTCATACACTTAAGATCCATGTTTTTAGATAAATTAACCAGGGAAAACTATTTCTGAGGGCAGCAGGAGCTGGATCCCTAACAGTTAAGACAATTGGATGTGGAATCATTCAAACTGAGTTCAAATCCCAGCTGTAGCACATACTGTCCCTATGACTTTAACAAATTCATTAACTCATCTGAAGACTCTGAGTTTCTCACCTGAAAAATGGTGAGCATATACCCAGAGCCAGATGAAATCCATCAAAACTTCCAAGGAGGTATATATGACATATTAAAAATATCACTGAAAATAAAATGAAGTAGGAGAAGTATTTTCCAAAACTTCTTTCACAGGGAGTAGAATATGTGGCTAGAAGGAATATTTTAATTAATTGCTGGGAGTGGTGGAGGGACAATTTAATAATAAATGTTACTAAACCACCATCTAAGGAGAGGTGTGTTTGGTTAACAGGAAGACTTTTGTTGGACAGACTACCTTATGAAATTGTGGGCCAGAGCTTAACTGTTCTGTGAAGTAGAAAAATGTCTGGCACAGCCAGTAGGAATCCCCTTGTCCACTTCCCCCAGGCTACCCTCAGCCTCTCTGTAAGTTCTAAAGATTTAAAGATGATCAGTTTGAAAGGACACAAATTATTCAGCTGCCATGATACCTGTGATTTTTTTTGTTCTGGCCTACCTAAGGCTTAACTCACATAAATGCTGTAAAGTTTAAGTGATATTAAGTGAAACCATGCAATTGCCAATATTTAATTGTTTTGACCCACAAAAAGTGGTAATTTGGTGTGGTTTAACCTAATATAATGTATTGAGAATACTTTGTAGCCCAGGATCTAACTCAAGGTAATTCCTCGGTAAATGATAGCTAGTCTTATTGTCAATTACCAAGAAGATGCCTGTTAACTCATGCAGGCTTCAGGCAGATAGCATTGAAGGCCCAATCTAATGGATCAGGGAATTCTCAAATTCTGGTGAAAACAAACACCATCGTTTGGAACTTAAGTCGATTTAAAGGAGAGTGTCTGCCCATGAGCTATCTGACACAGGAGAGGGGTTTCTACCAGAGTGAGGCTAGATTGTTGGGCTTTCCCAACCAGTACACTGAGGTTCAGGGCTGTGTCTGCATTTCCTCAGAAAGGGGAACACACACAGGGACACTGAGGCAGAATTCCAGGCCTTGAACAAGGCTACCTTGAAAAGGGAAGGGAGAAATGGGAAAGGAATGCTTTGATTTTCCCTTCTAGTCTCACTCTTAAAATGTTTTCCATTGTAAAATAGTTCAGGGGTCAGTTTCAAGGAAAGGAGCTATGAAGTCAGAGAACCTTGCCTCTATCTTGTAGGTATGCAATGCACTTTCATTCAGTAATCTTTATATGACAAAGTTTGTTCATGTCTAATAGATGCACATTAGAAAGTCTTACAATAGAGAGCATGTTTAATTGTATTGAATCCTGTATTTCTCAAATATTGGACAATATAACTTTCTTGATACAATGCTTAACAGTCTGTTGGGCCCAACTTTTCAGAATATGCTTTAGAAAATTCTTCCTTGGATTATAATATTTTATATAGATATTCTGTGTGCTTAGCTTAATTTTGTATCTTCTGTACTTAGCACAATGACTGGCATAGAGTTGAATTTAAAAAGGTCTTTTGAACTGAATCTACAAAATTAAGACTATCAACTATATCATTTTTCACACTCTTTTAAGCTTTTAACATCTATGTCTCTGTCATGCAATTATGTGCCTAATATTATACTAAGAATGACCATCACCAGCATCAAGGAGACACTGATTAATAAGGATACTCCAGTTTCTCTTTAGTGCAAATGAATTTTTTGCCTTTTAACAAAGGATTACAAGAGATTTCTGAGTAAAATAGGGAAGGTCAAGGAGAGCTCCCTGGAGGAGGTGAGCTCTGAGGACATCAGAGTAAGGAAGACAGAGAGGAAGGGATAAAGTGATAAGCTTGGATAAAGAAGAAAAAGAAGAATTAGAAGAAGACTTCCGACCAAGATGGAGGCGTAGGTAGACACACTGTGCCTCCTCGCACAACCAAAAGAAGGACAACAACAATTTAAAAACAAAAAAACAACCAGAACTGATAGAAAATCGAACTGTATGGAAGTCCGACAACCAAGGAGTTAAAGAAGACATATTCATCCAGACCTGTAGGGGGGCGGAGAAGGGCAGCTGGTGGGGAGAGGGTTCACAGCAAAGCAGTGGCTGGTGGACCCAGTGAGGTGGCAGATTGTGGAATGGGGCATGGCACGCAAGGTGGCTAGCAGACCTGAAAGCCCCATATTTGCATGCAAATAAGCCAGGCGAAACTGGATAGCAGGACAGACCATGCAACCTAGGGTCCCAGTGCAGGGAAATAAAGCCTTAAACCACTGATTGAAAACACCTGTGGGGAGTGAGGCAGCAGGAGAAACTCCCAGTCTCACAGGAGAATTTGTTGGAGAGACTCACAGGGTCCTAGAACATACCCAAGCCCATCCACCAGGAATCAGCACTAGAAGGGCCCGCTTTGCTTGTGGGAAGCAGGGAAAGTGACTGAAATCTGGCAGAGAGTGGAGCAAGTGCTATTGTTCCTTCTTAGACCCCTGCCCCATATACAGTGTCAAAACCCAGTGATGTGGGTTACCCCGCCCCACTACATAACAGGCACATCGAGACAAAAAAAAAATGGCCCAAATGAAAGAACAGATCAAAGCTGCAGAAAAAATACAACTAAGCAATGAAGAGGTAGCCAACCTATCAGATACACAGTTCAAAATACTGGTAATCAGGATGCTCACAGAATTGGTTGAATTTGGTAACAAATAAGATGAAAAAAATGAAGGCTATGCTAAGTGAAATAAAGGAAGATGTACAGGGAACCAACAGTGATGGGAAGGAAACTGGGACTCAAATCAACAGTGTGGACCAGAAAAAAAAAAAGAAACATCCAATCAGAAAAGAATAAAGAAACAAGAACTCAAAAAAAAATTAAGAGAGGCTTAGGAACCTCCAGGACATTTTTAAATGTTCCAAAATCTGAATTATAGGAGTACCAGAAGGAGAAGAGGAAGAGCAACAAGCGGAAAAGTTATTTGAACAAATAATAAAGGAGAATTTCCCCCAAGCTGGCAAAAAAAAATAGACTTCCAGGAAGTCCAAGAAGCTCAGAAAGTCCCAAAGAAGTTGGACCCAAGGAGAAACACACCAAGGCACATCATCATTACATTACCCAAGATTAAAGATAAGGAGAGAATCTTAAAAGCAGCAAGACAAAAGGAGACAGTTACCTACAAAGGAGTGCCCATAAGACTGTCAGCTGATTTCTCAAAAGAGACCTTATAGGCAAGAAGGGGCTGGAAAGAAGTATTCCAAGTCATGAAAGGCAAGGACCTACATCCAAGATTGTTCTAGCCAACAAAGCTTTCATTTATAATGGAAGGGCAGATGAAGTGCTTCCCAGATAAGGTCAAGTTAAAGGAGTTCATCATCACCAAGCCCTTATTATATGACATGTTAAAGGGATTTATCTAAGAAAAAGAAGATAAAAAAAACATGTAAACTAAAATGACAGCAAACACAATTATTAACAACCACACCTAAAACAAAAACAAAAACAGACTAAGCAAACAACTAGAACACGAATGGAACCACAGAAATGGAGATCACATGGAGGGTTATCAACAGGGAAGTGGGAGGGGGAGAGAGGGGGGAAAGGTACAGAGAATAAGTAGCATAGATGATAGGTAGAAAATAGACAGGGGAAAGGTAAGAATAGTATGGGAAATGTAGAAGTCGAATAACTTATATGTATAACACACGGACATGAACTAAAGCAGGGGAATGTGGGTGGGAGAGGGTGTGCAGGGTGGAGGGGAGTGAAGGGAGGAAAATAGGACAATTGTAATAGCATAATCAATAAAATATATTTTAAAAAATAAAAATAAAAAAATAAAGTTTCAATGTTAGCCCCCAAAAAAGAACACCGATTTATTAGTTAATATTGTTATATATTTTTAATAGCCTTAATTTTTTTGAGGTTCCTCCTATCAAATGCTGAGGTTTGTGTAC